TTTTCTTTGAAGTCAAATACTTCTTAAGTTCTCCAAAAACTTAGTTTGGTACATTTAACGTTCTACTAAACAAAAACGCAAGGTTGATCCCTCCATGCGTTTGGTTTCCTTTTCGGTGTTGAGTCTTATCCGGCAATCTTTGTTATAGGTTAGTGTTAGTGCTTTACGAAGACATCACTTGACAAATCCAGATTAGCGCTCTCATGTGTTTCTTGCTTGCTCAGTTCATTCAGATATTCTCGATGCTGATAGTATTTCGATTGTTCTGCTACGACACCATAATCTTCATTTCTTATCACCTTTTTTTAGAAGACTTGTTGAAATTTTTTATTCGTTGATATAATGGGAGCAGTTATTTTCCTTGATCTAAACAGAATCAGCTTTTTCTCAAACTGTTGCGTTGATATGTTCTGAACTGGTATTTTCAGCCCCTTGACTTGAACAAAGCTCATTGAAAATCCTGGATGACAAATGCTTTTTGCACCATGACAAGAACTTTTTAATCATTGTGATTTTTAGGGTAAAACATTCACCGCTAATTTGCGTAGGAGTTGCAGTGAAACTTTGCGCTGAAGTTACAAACTCATTAGATTATCTTTGCAGGCATACTCCCGGCTGACCAAATGCGAGAATATTTTGGACCGATCTCTTTGTTGATGTCTCGAGTGCCGGTATCATACTTTGAACGAACCTACTCGATTATGTTACCCGAAGGATCAAAACCTTCTGCGTTGAACCTCCTCACATCTCTAGCGTTCATGCGCGGATTCATGTCAGCAGCAGGTGTCCCGGATTGTTCACGTGCTGCACGGTTTCTAATCAAAGACGTCGTTGCTGGAAAACTGCGATGGGTCGCTTGTCCACCAGGTGTTGACCAGGAAGAGTTCAATAGTCATCTCTATCCTGCTGATGCGGAGAAGTCCGGATCTGGTCGAGTTCAGCTGGAGCAACTTGAGAGACGAGGATTGCTTGAAGGAGAAGGTGCCGCAAATAGAGAACTGGACGCGAAGTTCTTTGAGGAAGAAAAAGGTGCAGCTCACATCAAATGTTCAAAGCATAATAAGTCTGCGTTACCAACGGGCTCTACTGTTGATCCAACTTTGGCAGAAAAGAATGACAAACGACATTTTAACAAAAATAAGAAAGAGAAATTACGAAGAGTATATGTTTCCTCACATTGAGTTGTATAGTTGTAAAGAATAAAAGTTATACTTATCTTGTTCTCTGCTCTGCTTTGGTTTTTCCATCCATATCGCAAGTGTTTGCTCATTGATGTGATGCAGTTTTGTTGGATTGAGAGATTGTGAGCTCTTCAAATATTGCAGGATCAGCATGGGTAAAATTATGAAGCCAGGCAAGGTTGTCCTTGTCCTTCGAGGCAAATATGCCGGTAGGAAAGCTCTTGTTGTAAAAGCTCAAGATGAAGGCGGTGCTGATAGGGCGTATCCTCATGCTATCATTGCTGGTATCGACAAGTACCCATTGAAGGTA